GATTTGTGCGAGGTATCGGCTGAGATTTGTGGAGTACAATTCAAAAAACAACTATAGGTCTAATACTGAATTATTGTGATGTTAAATAGACAATGTTAGCTATCAAAGAGCGACGTTGTTTTTCATTGGGACCTTCGTCCCTTCAAGGCTAGGCCTATACCATCCTGGCTAGTCTAGGCCTAGAGTAGGATAAGGCTAGTGCGACATGCGGACATTGGTACGAGTAGGTTAATCTACAAACGTCGCCTAAAGTAATTGATTTTACCCGGCAAAACGAAAGAAGGAAACTCCGCTTTTCAGTCGTCTTAGGCGCACGTTTTTTGACAAACAATGACCTTTCAGAGGTCAAATTGCTGTCAAGAATATGAATTGGCTGCTTCGCAGCAATGAGATAGGCCTGTATAAGATTCTCACAAAGAACCACCTAACAGAGTTAACCTAGCTACTGTATATACAAGTTAGTTATAGACTCCAGTATGTTTAATATGTGGGTTGCGAAATTATAACTACTACCTCTAGATCTGTACCTCTAGATCTATAAACGTGACACAATTTAAAGAATTCAACTATCAGAAATGCTCAGTAAATTGAAACCAGAGAGTTAAGAATGGCCAACATGTGTCCTGGCACCAAGTCCCAAGATTAATTCACTGTGGTGATCTCTTGAACGAATTGTCTATATATTAAATTGCAGCAAACCATGGCAGTCAGCTTCCAGAACTTTCTCTGAATTTTCTAAGCATGTTTGGACCCTTTTATATTTCATAGCTGCATTCTCTGTATCATGTTCCTTGGGTCAAGGCAAGATATGTTTTGAACAAGAGAATACTAAATTGGGGACTTAATTAGTAACTTTCAAGAGGAATTTCTTTTCAACCTGAAACTGAAGTCAAGGTAAAGGTTATATTGCGCAAAATACAAGTCTCTCATCAAGTGCGCAGATGTATTGGAAAATAAAAAAGAAAATCCAAGCCAGCACCCAAACCGCAGTATGGGGATACGCTCTCGTCACTGAGCAGGGATATATCAAAATGTACCCTTTCCAGCACCAGTAGAGTCTCGGCCATCCCACCACTCAGGTGCCTCCTACCCTGATAGAGCTATAAACAATCTAGCTGGCAACGAATGGAAAAAGGAAAATCAAAGAGAACGAAATAAGTGAAAAACAAGA